TTTCAGACACAGGAAATCCACACAAATTTTGTAGGAATTTTCACAGAAAATTCTTCATTTTCCGTATTTTGAAATATGGAAAATATCCCCATGTTCCAAGCGGGGACTAGGTCATTTCCTTGAACTACTGCAACATAATATGCTGCAAACTCAACATGAAGCATTAGAGAGGTAGCAATGTTTTCCAGAGCAATCAATCAAAAAATTTAGGGAAAATTTTGTGTTTGCCGCTCTAGATTTTGCCAATTTTCCTTATGCCACTCTAGAATTTGACATTTCACTTTTGCCACTCTTAAATTTTGACAATTATCACAATTGTCATTCCCGTGGCAAAATAATTAGTTTCAGATTGTCCAAATGCAATCAATTATTTCTTTCCTCAACTGAATCTGTTACAAACTAGTGTAGCTACTAGAACATCAGCATGGGTTGAATCTGAAGAATATTTTGGCATATTCTTCTTCAGATGAATATATCGCCATTGAAAACGAGTGGCTTCCCCACAAAGAAGAGAAGAAAACGAGTGGCTCATCGCAAGCAGCCTGAATCTATCTATCAACCTGAAGAACGAAGCCAACCTTTCTGGTCTGTCAGCCTAAAGAAGCCTGAACACGAGATTCTCCGGCAGTCGGGAAAACTCTTCAGGTTAGCTCCTGGTTCTTGAAGCTGGCTACCTTGGCATTGTCTCTGTCGCGCTTGAACACAAGGTACAAAGGGCTGTAGAAGAGGACACAGACACCAAAAGGAACGATCATCATGGTGAGCAGTCCCCTCGACAGCGCATACGCTCCTTCCGCCGATCCGTTGGCGATGTTCACAGTCTTGGCGTCGTAGCCGTATATCCTCTCGGTGACCAAGCCAACAGCAGGAGCGGCCAGCGAAGCGAACGAGCCCTCGAATGCGCGGTCGAAGGCGTAGATCATGGTGCGGTGCTTGGGAGGGACCACCTCGGCGAACATGGGGTTGTTCGCCGAGGTGGCGCACCAGCTGATGGTGATGCCCATGAAGAAGAGCGTGACGGCGTAGGCGAACCAGTAGTCAGTGGACTGAGGAATGACCGTGAGGAGGATCCACGAGAACGGGATGCCCATGAAGGCGCTGAACTGAGCGCACATGATGCGCGCGGAATCGGGGTAGCGCCGCGACAGCCGATCCGCTAGCACACCGCCGAGGAAAGCTCCACTGGCGCACCCGATGGCGAATAGGCTGTTCAATGCTGCGGAGCTCCTGTTGTCAAAACCTAGGAGGGGTTAACACCGTCAATATTCAGGTTTCTTGTGGAGAACTGCTACTAGCAGTTTAATGTGGTAGGAGTTTATCGGGTTTTTTGCCATATGAGTTCGAACCACATGGTGAAGAAAACTATGGCCGTCCATGGCAATGAGCCGATTATCCCTTGCAGCACAATGATCTGAAATGTCTTCACTTTCATGACACTTCTCGTTGCCACCCAAGAATCCATCCAGATTGAGGGCGGAGGAAGAACGTCTTTGCTGGACAGATGTAGCCTGGGGAAAGAGGATATCAATGTTTATGTTCATTCATCACCGTCCCACCTCTCTTTGCTAGTTTTGTCTCAAATTACTACACATTTCAGTTAGAGCAAGAAGAAACCTATACTGTCTTTCAAGTTAACAAGCTTCACTGACCATGGCATTTTTTGGGTTTTTTATCTGCAGAATCAAACTAAAAGGGACATCTATATCTATATTTATATCTATATCTATATCTATACCAATATAAAAAGACCCAAAGGGGCAGATCCAAACCATCTCGACCGTCAAATCATGTTATCTAGTGGTTCAAATCGCTCCAATGTTGAGCACCAAACACGTTTAACGCTCTAATTACCCACCACGGCCAT